GTCCATTAAAACTCTTAGAATAAGCGACTTTTTCTTGATTTGTCACTCCACTAATTTGCATGAGAGATAAATATGTCTAAATCCTCGTCACTTCTATTCCATTTCTTTTCCACATCATCTAAAAAACTTACTCAGGAAAGCGGTTTTGCGATAGAATACTCAATGATCTGCCAATAAATAGTTTTGCATAAAATGATGTCATATTAATTGTTTTAGATAAAAACAAAAAATACCTCGGGAACATCCAAAACATGTAAGTCGAGATAAACTGACAAACGCCATGCCAAAAAAGAAAGACGACGAAAAGACAATCAAATTCATAAAACATTACACAGAAAAATAAATACTGAGTAAAACGAACAACAATTAAAACTGGCGGTGATTTCAGGTGATTTGACAGGGTAAACAAATCCTGCTCCACTAGTGGCACTTGTCGTTTTGATCATGGACAGTGTAAATTCGATGAGTTAATTTCATTCGATGATGTCGCAATCGAAGAAAATAGGACGGGATTGTGGTAACGATAAGTGGAACATATCCATGAACATTTATGACAGAGAAATCCAATAAGGGTCAACCAAAACGTGATGACGTCCGTAAACCTTTCGAATGGATGATTTCAACTGTGCAAATTGAAACAACTGGTTCAATCGCTTCCATGTAAACAACTTCCAAGTATCAATGATAGACATGTCTGTTAAAGAGACTTTGGGAGTAATATAGTACATTCGCTGTAAAGACTCACAAGGAATCCAATGTGATACATAGTTGTTTATTAGACTTATCTAAATAGTAGAACTCAATATGTAGGTTCAATCTTAAACCCGGTAGTTTAAAAAACTATCAACCTTTACAGTTTCATGTGAGTGATTTGAGATTCTGTCAAAATTTGATGATTTTCACATTTGAATATTTATACTACTGGGACCAGTTACCGTTACATGACATTTTATGCAATGACGGAAGCATTTGTAAAATATATGTTTTGTTTGATCCGATTGAGATAGGGAAATGGCAAATTGTTTGTTTTGGAAACGTCGTGAGAAGATACGAGTGCAGGCACAGACGTCCTCGATGTCTACTTGCTTTAGTTTAAATCTGTTTCAAAAGAAAAAGAAGGATTTATTAGTTTCAAAATTAAATCCTATGCTTCTTTTCAGTAAAAAGTTATTTCTTAATTTCAAATGACATTTATGTGTAATAATTTCTGATTTGATTAAGAGAAGATAGAAGACCGCCGAGTCAATTGGCGGAATGACGATGGGTTTGGTTTATTTGACATACCTATTCTATGTTATTCGTGCTATAAAATAGCAAAAAAGTCGCATTAATATCCCATGTAAGTGTACATTCTATCATTTAGTGGGTTAATTCATAAGACTCGATAACTGCCCTCGTACCAATAACATATCGCGCAAAAATACCCACACTAGTTTCCTGCGTTTCCTTGTGTTCTACAAATCAGAGTAAAAGTCCAAGCTTATGGTGCTAAACCTAACTAAACACTTAAATTGTTACAATAATAATTCCAAACGGAGTTCTTATTGGATAATATTTATATCTCAGGTCAAAATAAGAGCTACCTTAAGATAATAAACTAATTCAATTTGGTTCCGAACTCCGATATAAATAAGAAGATGAGGTATGAGTGCCAATGATACAACTCTCCATCCAAGTCACAATGTATAAAAAGTTAACAATTATAGGTCAAAGAACGCCTACAACACGGAGCCTCGGCTCACACCGAACAGCAAGCTATAAAGGGCCCCAAAATGACTAGTGTAAAACAATTCAAACAGGAAAACCAACGGTCTAATCTATATTAAAAATGAGAAACGAGAAACATCTATGAACCTCACCAACAAACGACATCCACTGAACAACAGGCTCATGACTTAGGACAGGTGCATGAAAATGCAACGGGTTTTAAACGTTTTAACAGGCGCCAACCTTCACCCTAACCTGAGAGAGTAGTGTAGCATTACAACATAAAAAGACACACTATAAAATATCAATTGAAATGGCTTAACTCGATCAAAAAGACATTTAAACAAAAACAAGTAAACATACACTGAACAAATCAGTTTGATCAATGACACAATATAAATACAATATTAAAACGTAGGTGCCTATATAACATAGACGTTACAGGTAGTAATAAAAAGATGTAGGAAGAGAGTCAATAAGACAACTCTTATCTGGGACAAAATGGCGTTAAATTAAACAACGTACGCAGGTAAATTTAAATATAATAGTTTTGTTGTTAGTTAGAAAAAGTCTTCCATACTTTATTCAAATCCACAGTATGGCTTCATATATGTATTTTAAGGTTGGGGTGTTCCTGTGCAAATTTGTTTAACATAACAAAAAACATAATATTTTGTGTATAAAAAAAAACTCTCAGAAATATGTATTTTTTAGACTCCAGTAGATTTGGACTAGATATTGATTCTGCAAGTGGAAGATATTCAGAGAAATGGGTTCTAACTCTTTAAAAGTGTTCGACTATTTGATATATTCAATTTCACTCGATGTAATAGATTTTCCGATTCCAACCACCTGAGTGAAAACGTTTCAGGGGGAAATGGCCATATTTCTTTTTAATTTTCATAATCTCAAAAAAGAAATTAACATAAATATACGATTTAAATTTTATTAATAATACAAAATGAGTACAAAGTACGTGTACGATGATATATCACTTAAGGAAATGCCTGTACCAAGTCAGGAATATGACAGTTGTTTTTCATTCGTTTGATGTGTTTGAGCTTTTGATTTTGCCGTTAGTAAACCGAATTTCCGTTAAGAATTTTCGGTATTTTTGTTATTTTACTTTTTGCATACGATTTTTCTGTGAAGTTAAAATTGGAAAGCTTGACTGGAAGAGCAATACTATCCAACACAATGTTAAAATATGGCATTTTATGATATACTACTTAAAAATCAACAAAAACTTGCAAATATATCTGCTGAAGATAATATATAGTTAAATGCAGTAACAATAAGAACGTCCCTTCTTATCTTCTAATCTTTCTATGTTTTTGATGCAAGCAGGCTGGTTCCCATATCTATTAATACGACTAATTTCGCCGAGAGATTTTACATTATTCTCATCTATATATTCGACTGTTCCTTCAAATAATGCATTACCAGGGTTTGTATAAAATTTGATGCGGATTCGCATCCGTTCTTCAATGGTCCATAGGAAACTACGCAGTGAATAAGATCTCTCCGATTTTGAGTCTCGATGCATATCTGCATAAACTAGAGACGCGTTTGCAACTGAAGATAAAATTACTTTGGCACATTTATGCTTTAAATCTTTCAAAATGTCGTTTATTTGTTTCACTAAAAAAATTACAGAGTGACGCACGCGTTTGTCATCTTTTGACATTGATTTAGATGAGTAACATGGGCAGTAATGTTCAGATATGTCTGCATCTCGACAACTCCGGGACGACGGAATTTGCTGAAAAAGACTTATTCCTCTCGGCAGTGGCGAAACCTCAGATAGACTTTTCTTTTCATCAAAGTTTCCATTCAAAACATCTTTGAGCATTTCGAATACGTCATAAGTAGTTGTTAATGTATTAATGTTAGATTTTAAATTTTTGTCAATGTGAGGGTATTTTAACTTGATGTGATTTGGAATGACTATTGACATCAATGGAAGAAGGTTAGAAATGCGTCCTACTTCGGTATTTTGTATTTCACTATATCGAGGACCATGATCTGACATAACAATTAAAACCGCATTGTCTAGCTTGTTTGTATCTTTCATCCATTTAAAAAGCTCGAAATAGTCGTTATCTGCCAATTCTACCATGTTGAAAAAGTCATGAGCAATTTCATTCGTCCAACAGTATGCAAATTTTCTCTTCCTGTGATATGCCTCAATAAAACGTTTATAATACTGTAATTGTACGTTGAATCTGTAAACATTTCCAAAACACATCGCCGATACTTTCGACAAAGGAATGTTGTGGTTTTGTAAAAATTTCAGTGTCATAGAAACAGCGAGATACGATGGTTTAACTTTGTCCATAGCCTGTATTAACGGCTGGTTATAATGCTGTGTTGGTTGGTCAGTAAATCCTTTGAATGTAGCAACATCATACCAGTCTTCAGCAAACACATCGACAGCACCGCGTCTTGAAAAGTTTTTAAATATATATGGCAAATTATTTACTCCTGCTTGATCTTCATATCCAGATTTTAATCCAGTAAACATTGGCAGGATATTTTCATAGGAACTGTCGGCAATACGTGTATACCCATGTAAAATGTAAGCATTCAATTCAGATTTTAAATAGGAAAAAGTCTTTTTTAACTTCCGTTCGGCTATAAGCCTAGAGAGTGAGTCAATACCTACAATATACACACTAAGATCTGTTTGTGACTCGTTTGCTATCACACGTGACCTGTAAACGCTCTTTGTATCAATATTCAGGTGTAAATTATTATATATACGTTTTCCCTGTTTATCATAACATTCCATGTGAATAAAATCTCCATCAAGATAGCTTGGATGGGTATAAAGTAATCTATTCGAAAATTTCATTTCTTTTTCTGATACACGTGTAATATATCTAAACTCACATCTGATATTTGAATATCCTGAAATATTAACGGCTGTGTTATTCATTGTTATATAACCACGTTTATCTACATAGAAAAGATCTAACCAATTTTCACATGGCAGCGGTTGCTGTTTCCAGAAGAATTGTTGTACAGAACTGTCATAGAGATCATATGAAGGCAGCAAGCAAGGTGATAAAATATTTCGGTTTCGGAAAACATGGAAGACTGGCATGTTAAATCGATAGTTTAAGTAAATAAGCACGCAAAGAAACAAAGCTAGATTTAACAATCTTTTACACAGTATTCTGATCCTCGGAGACCGACGGTAAAAAGGATATAAATATTTCTTTAGCAACAAACGACCTGATCTCAGACGATGTTTCCAGTTTGAAATTGAAGTCGACATTCTTCCTGAAAAAAAGAAAACAATCAATAGAACACCTGATATTGACTTCATTTTACTGAATGGTGAAATATTTCACGTGTCCGAGAGAGCAACCATGTTATTCGCTTCACTTACAAGAACACATTATAAATAATATAGTAACAAAATATATAAATTTAAGATACATTTTTTCGTGGGCACGACACGAGATTCTAGCATTACTTAGATCACATACAATGGAGGCCAAGACATTTGGATTGCCAGTAAAATTGATAATTTTATTCGTAAGCAAACAGCTCATAGAATATATACATTTAACAAATATTCACATCACAACAGCATCAGTGTCCAGCTATTAATAAATGTACAAACAATATGAAATCACAACGGCGTGAATATAAAATACAGTCAAGAATTTTCAGCAAGAAATGAATATTTCCTAAATTATTCAATTCTTTTACATTATGAACAGACAGTAGTTGTACCACTTTGAAACTGGGTGGTCTTCTCCAACAACAAGTTTTGATATACACTTTTCTTATATTAGCATATTTTTCACAAACAAAAATAAAATGATATTCGTATTCAATTAAATGTTTGTCACATATGTGCCATAAACTCATATTTCTATCAATGTTATACCTCTGTCTACAGCTACGTTATGAGAAGATAAACGTTTTTTTTTTTTGCAAATGAACGATTTGTACATATAATTCACACTGCGATCTAAACAAAATTGCAACCAATATGGATCATAAATAGTAAAATAGATATATAAAAATAACATTTCGACGACTTTTTTAAAATAGACATTCATTTCAGTCACAAAATTATGTTTCATATAAAAAAAAAGAAGATTTGGTATAATTGCCAATGAAACTCTCCACCAGAGACCAAATGACAACTATAGGTAAACGTACGGTCTTCGACAATGAGCAAAAATCCATACCGCAAAGTCAGCTATAAAAGTCACCAAAATGACAAATGTAAAACAATTCAAACGAGAAAACTAACGGCCTGAGTTATGTACAAAACAATGAACGAAAAACAATATATGATATACAGCAACAATCGGCAACCAATGAAGAACAGGCTCCTGTCTTGGAATAGGCACATAAATAATGTGGCGGGGTTAATCTAGTTTGTTGGCGCCAAACCCTTTCCCGAACCTGGGACAATGGTGTAACAGTACAACATAAGAACAAACTGTAAAGATCATTTGAAAAGGGTTTAACTCATAAGAATGATACAAAAAAGAAAAGCGTCTAACAAAATCACAGACCGGACGTGGCAGGGTATTCGTACAACCCCACAACAAAAAAAGACACTAAATACAGATCTGAGAGTTTTCGCAGTTACTGACCGCTAGTTCAAAGCTAATAACTAATAAAAAAATCATGTATCTGAGACTTACATATCAATCAGTACACATCCAACATCCAATGGATTTAGGAAAAGACGTCATTTACAGTCAGAGAAAAACATGATCTTGTGCAATGCCAAGATACAGGTATCAACAGATTGTAGAGCCATGTATATACAAATAATATTTAATTTGATATTAACTTACTGATAACAAAATCAATATTTATATCAATAAAAACAATTATTCAAAAATCTTATTACAGTGTTGAATTGGTAACCTTTTAGAATAAGTTTATTTAAAGGATCGATACGTTTACCAGGATCGTATCTAAATTTCCGGGTTCGGTAAACAACATATCCGTTAAAATGAGGATGTGCTATCCCGTTTCAAATAAGCGTTCTACAGGTACAGCCAAACTTCCAAATCAAATCTTTGTATCTATGGAAGAATTAAGTAAAGGTTTTAAGTACTTTATGGTAACGAAATCCCTGACTTAATAATTTTCCAGTAATACATAGATTACGTTCATTGAAATCCAAAACGTCACAACATATGTTCTTCTCTTGAAGAATTAATTCAGTATTATTAAAACCTTTGTTATATCACACAGTATAATATCTTTTTTTGATATAAGTAATTTTAAACTTACATGTCCAGTTGCACATTTCATTATATCTAACCATAGACCTTTGTAACATTTCTTCAGAACAACACTTTAGAATACAATTATCAGTATATAATAGTTTGAACCAATATTTCAACACACTACAATACGTATTGACAAATATAGGGAATCTCCATAATTCACAATATAACTTATAGCTAACAGTTAAAAACCGTTACTTTGAGAATACGTTTTAAAAAGCTTAAATGGACCAAGTAGTATATATTAGGGCTCTAGACCACACGGCCACCTAGAGTGAACTAAAAATTCAGCTTTCGGTGGCCTAGTGTTACCTTTCCTCGTCAGTAGAATCTAGAGTTGTAACACAGTACATGATATATTAGGCATGAAGATGGAATTGATTGCAGATTAGCTAAATATCTATCGTAAAGGATCGTATGATACAGTCACAGAAATGATTATGTTGATAAGTACCTCTAAACAAGTGACAACTCTACGACAGATCCATTGATTGGATCACCAGTGAAGGTGATACACACGGCTGAAAACACATATTGTATTCATAACCACTCTAAATATCAGCACAACAATGTTAAATCTACAAATGTGCGGAAGCAAATTTTTGTTCTTCCCTCGCCGGGATTCGAACTCATACTATCGGGATATCGAGACAACACCGCCTGCACTGTGTCCAGCGCTCTAGACCGTACGGCCACCTAGAGTGGACTAATAATTCAGCTTTCGGTGGCCTGGTGTTACTTTTCCTCGTCAGTAGAATCTAGAGTTGTAACACAGTACATGATATATAAGGCATGAAGATGGAATTGATTGCAGATTAGCTAAATATATATCGTAAAGGATCGTATGATACAGTCACAGAAATAATAATTTTGATAAGTACGTCTAAACAAGATACACGGCTGAAAACACATATTATATTCATAACAACTCTAAATAGAAGCTTTCCGGACGTCCATCGCAAATATCCGTTTTCCTGTCTCCCCTACTGTCGCCAGGTTAACTCAGTTTGCAACAGTAACACTACAGATGGACGTCTGCAAAGCTTCAAATGCAATACAGTTATCTCTATTCTGATGCAAATTAACTAATCTTTGAATTTTAGTCATAATTTCGGTGTTAAATTTTCATTAAACGAAAAGTCTGCAAAATGATGTTATCTTCTTTGGCACCGAAACTAAACGTAAGCACCGGGCGTTTTCTGTCTTCTTGTCCGCCTTAGAATCTAATTATAAATTGATAAAAAGAAGATTTCTAGGTGCAAATGTGAGTTTTTTTGCTTATCATTGGAGATATTACATGTTCATACATTCCGGAATCCCAAATGTCGGCTTCCCCTAGTTACAAACAGGGAGATGGAGAATTGTACGCTGATTGTCATCCAATCAGAACCATTGATACAAAATGGTTGCACTAGAATATGTAGTGACAACGCAACATCAATGAAATTTTATTACACAACGTCATTTGCAAGACATGTTTACGGTCGCAACGTCAACTGCTAATCAAGTCGTCGATTGTCATTGCAGACAGATTTACGCCATTAATGTTTCCCATATACTGAAATGCCCAAGCCCTACAGCTTAAACCGCATAAATGCCAAAACACATTGTGAGGGTGGGACAGAGGCTAAATCAGAAGGTACAAAACAGAACTCAAAACATGCATAAAAGAATTGGTTGACCTTTCTGTCAATCATTTAGGCGTTGATTACATGCATTCATTGCCTTCGACGGTGACACAATCATTGATAAGGGGAAAACCAGGGTTTCAGTGCATACCACATAATTTGAACATTAAACATGACGTAATCAAATCAAATCTTCGAACTGCAATTTTTTTTTTTATTTTTAGACAATAAATTAATGAATGAAATTGATATTTATACATTTGTTCAACAAAAATTGCATATTTGAAAATGAGAATTAAAAAGAATAATCTAGTGTTGCGTTTTTAAAAAGTTCGTCAGTATATATAAATGTCTGCATTTTCATCAAACGTCGACATAAAACATTATAAGAATTACACGACGACTTGTGTATGTTAGATCCAGTCAATTAATGTAAGACGAAAAACGTGAAGTATTAGGAGTCCAGATTCTCCAATTTCCATATATAAGTAAACAAGAAGATCATAAACAATATAAGACCTTTATCATAGTCCAAATAAGTTGTTGTTATGTTAGCATGGTAGATTTATCATAGTCCAAATAAGTTGTTGTTATGTTAGCATGGTAGATTTATCATAGTCCAAATAAGTTGTTGTTATGTTAGCATGGTAGATTTATCATAGTCCAAATAAGTTGTTGTTATGTTAGCATGGTAGATTTATCATAGTCCAAATAAGTTGTTGTTATGTTAGCATGGTAGATTTATCATAGTCCAAATAAGTTGTTGTTATGTTAGCATGGTAGATTTATCATAGTCCAAATAAGTTGTTGTTATGTTAGCATGGTAGATTTATCATAGTCCAAATAAGTTGTTGTTATGTTAGCATGGTAGATTTATCATAGTCCAAATAAGTTGTTGTTATGTTAGCATGGTAGATTCATCATAGTCCAAATAAGTTGTTGTTATGTTAGCATGGTAGATTTATCATAGTCCAAATAAGTTGTTGTTATGTTAGCATGGTAGATTTATCATAGTCCAAATAAGTTGTTGTTATGTTAGCATGGTAGATTTATCATAGTCCAAATAAGTTGTTGTTATGTTAGCATGGTAGATTTATCATAGTCCAAATAAGTTGTTGTTATGTTAGCATGGTAGATTTATCATAGTCCAAATAAGTTGTTGTTATGTTAGCATGGTAGATTTATCATAGTCCAAATAAGTTGTTGTTATGTTAGCATGGTAGATTTATCATAGTCCAAATAAGTTGTTGTTATGTTAGCATGGTAGATTTAAAATATATTTGACTTCATAAGTTGAAGCCTGGTAAAAATAATATGTAAATTAACAAACACTTACAAATTAAAGATTGTTTTCCGATATTTCCTTCAATTTCCTCTGATATTTAATTGTTGTTTCGAAGTATTTGTGGAGAAGGTAAACTTCTTTACTTTGGTTATATTGTTCTTTGGAAAGTACTCAAGTACTGGAGAAGTTTTACGTTTTTTGTTGTGTTTTTTTTAATTTGAAATTACTTCGTTCTGCATAAATTGATAAACAAGCTTTCAAAGTGTTTGAAATCCAAAAGTATCTGCTCTATAGAGTTTTCGTAGATAGAATCATTAAAATTGCATCATTATAATAAATGCACCGTCATTTTGAAAACTAAGCTTTCTATAAACCGTTACGCTTCGCATGCTATGATTGGTAGATACTTATATAATTAAACCTTAATAGAAAAGTAAAAACCTACTACAGGCTGTGATAAGAACAAAACTAATTTCATTGCAAGTTTAAATTACATCTTCTAAAAAAAAAGGAAAGAGCTGTTATTAGTACTGGATAAATATGCAATAAGTCCATTTTAGACTAGTTACCTCCATAAGCCTGGAATTCTCATGGAAAGTCACATATGTTGCATATAATTTTCATAAATATATTTACAGTTAAAAGCTGTCGGACATATGATAACATTATTAATTATATTCTATTAATGATAAATTCAATTTCAGTTAAAACTTACTAATTTTAATGAATATTCCCTTGTTCTGTTAGTATCTATCAATGAAATTAAATACTTTTGACAGAAATAACGCTTTGTTTACTTATCTGTCTGCTTTCCGACCACTGTGTTCCAGACCGAAGATACACATTTTTAACATTAATGTTTTTATTGCTCTCCGACATTTGCTTAGGCTATGATTGAGATACAAAATATCACGTAGTATTCGTTCAGAAATAATCAGTTTACTCTGGGTAATAATATATTCAGTATACTTTTTACAGGTTTATAGTCACAATGAACAATAGCACTTGGTATCACACAACGCGTACAGGGACCGTCTCGACACATAAGTTATATAATTGCGTTATCATTATACATGATAGTTAATAAACAGTACATCAAAACGCATATGTTCTTTCAAAAGAACAAATAGGTTGGAATATATCGATGATTTTTGTACTGCAATTTAGTCTTTACATTTTTACTTTCCGATCTAAGAAAGAACTTTGATTGTTGAAATATATTATGTCCCATTGGAGTCAATGGTTTCTTGAAACCTTTCTAAAATAAATGTGTTTTGACGTCCAATGTATATCAGAACAATTAATCATTTTATGGTAAAAGCATTAAATTTAGCATCCACTTAAAAAAATCCAATATGGCCGACATAAGGTACTAGGAATACAACACGATACACTTGATTAAAGTCTAACAATTTGCAAGTGTTCAGTAGATATCACAAATTTAAGAAACTACAACGAAAGAATGCCAAAAACATTTTTACAACTATATAAATATATAAAATCATCAAATGGCGCCATCAAAAATGTCAAAGTTTGACAGATTTCGTATACATACACTATCAACGTAGCATAGAAAGTTGTCAATTGTTAAAGAACATATTAAAATAATTGATGGTTAAAATAACATCCAAATGCATGAAAATCAACATTAAGCACAATCTGATTCAGTATCTCTCTCACAGTCCGGTTAACAGTTACATAATGCAGTGCATTTCAATGTTGGTATAAAACACTTGCATGCCCATCGATATCATAGTTTTACAGCCACGGTAGATAAGTGTTTTACATCATATTGCTACTTCTGCAAGCACTGACCAGAATGGCACCAAAGTACCAAGTCACACTAAAATCATGTAATCATCAACTATATTTGTGAAAATTTACACTTTGTCCAAGACTCCATTTTGAATTGTATTGCCATTTTTATTTCCATAGTTTATTCATTTCGGGTACCAAAGATGGTGTTGGTTTTTGTCTGTATCTAAATTAATGTTTCTTTAAATTTTTATCATTGTATAAAAAACTTCAAATATACCCCATCAATAATGCATATTCAAATAGTCAAATTTGACATTTTTAACACGCCAATTTGAATTTAAATTCAAATTTGAAAACATAATCTATGTCCGCAGGTATTATTAATACAATATAGCCATATGTCTACTAGTATATTAAATCACAAGACTCTTTTAACTTCCTATGCCACATTGATAAAGTATATATATAATATAGGAAATGTCTTACTTTGACATTTTTTACGGTGCCATTTTGATGATTTTCTGTATTCAAAAAAAGAAAAAGAAATTAGGGAATATCTTCGTTGCATTTTCTTAAATTTGTGATATCTACCTAACTGTTGAATATTGGTAGTCTTTATCAAGTGTATGGTGTTGTATCTCCAGTACCATACGTGATCATACGTCGGCCATCGTTAATTTGGTCACGAACATTTCTAGTTATTTTTTCGTGGCTTCATATATGAATTTTGTCGATACCCTTTCATATTTCACTATGCCGAGTTCCACGTTTTCACCATCAAGTGATCAATTGTTCCGATACCGCAAGACGTTTTACAATACAAAAGAAAGCGATCATTTTGAATTTGGCGGCTATACTTGAATATTTGTACATGACTCTACATCCAAAAATATTTATTAGCGTTATAACTAACGCCGTGCAAATTTTCCTGCTTTTGTCATAAAGTGATCATTTTGCCAATATATTGAACTTATCCGCTGGACTATTGAGATTCTTTCACGATTTATCAAAACTAGAATCAGAAGAAAGTGTTCCCTATGAAAGCTTAAATCAATATGTTTTAAAAAAAAATAAATGGTTGCTGACAACTAGTCTGTTTCGAATAGACTTAAATCATTGCTATCGCACCAAAGTAATATCCTATTTTGAAAATATTTCTCTTAGTCACTTTTTTTTAATATTTTTCACATCTTTCCAACAAGCCAACTGAGAGATACCATGTGACCAAGGAAAGACTGATTTCTGTAAATTTAGTTTTTCTGGAATATTCATTCAATTATCTTTTATACGAGTCCAATATGGTCATTGTATGAGCCTTTGTTCAAATGGCCTATCAAATTCAATTTCTATAGTGTCTTTTCGGTTAGAAAATGTCTAAAATCTCTGAACTTTAAAGGGTTAATGTCAAAGTTTGGATCATCACGTTTTTAGATCAAAAATGGATAATAGGTGCTCCTCTCTATTATTACTGTTCTAACAAAAAATTTTAATAACTCTCTTTGAAATCAGTTGTAATATAAAAGAGCATTGGTCAATATGTTTCCAAAAATACTAGTATATTTTTGTAGGTATCTTTCTTCAAAAACTGTGTACCTAAGGAATAACTGGGGTTTAAAAAAAAATATGGGCACCTGAACTTCTCACGTTTTGGCAGTACACTGTTGGTTGTGCGGGTTGTATAAGTACGTTGAAGAACCATTGCAACAACTCTGATGGATCCGTAAGAGGCCTGTTGCAAGGCTTTATTTCTTACCCTGACTACCCCATTTCAAGTGGCATTTCAAATTTCCCGCCCTTCACCTTGTAGAACCTACCTAATGTGTTCTCGTTCTGAGTATGTATGAAATAACTGCCTCTGAGCGTTAAGAAACTAACAATCAATCATTCAATAAAACTTGTGGGTTTGACAGTCTTTTGTGAAATTTACCAAAATTGGAATCACATCAATTTGACATTCAAATGTACCATGCCAATGTTTGGGTCATAATGTTTCCGAAGTTATATGGTCTTAAAATGCTTTTTCACAATTACTATTGTTCTGATAAATTGCAGAAAATTTACAAAAAATTAGAATCACATTCTTTGAAATCCAATTGTTCCATTTATAAACCTTGGTCAGTATACATATTTGATTGCCAGGATTTTTTCAAAACATTGTCTGTCTGAGGGTATTTCGTAAAGTTGACCACATAACGAAATAGCAGGTTTGACCACTTTACAATGTATCTGTTTCATTCTTCCAGAATCAATATCAGAATATTGGTGAAACGTTGGGGAATTTGGTCATTAAAGAATCCGTTAATATATTTCAGACGATTTTCAATACTGTTAAAAATATCATTACAATTGAAGTGTTGCTCTTTCTATTTTGTTTGGTTTATTGTGGCCATCTTATTTATTTTTGTGGGGAATAATATTCTACGTAAGTAGAGGTATTGTGAGCTTTTGTTGGCTCTTGAAATTTACAACAACAAAAAATCATCCGTACTTTACTTCATAAAAACTCATCAAAGATACCAAGCTTATAAATTTTTACGCCAGGTTGTGTGTTCGTCTACATAAGACTCAAAAGTGGTGCTCGTTAAATAACCAAAAGTTTAACCAAAACATAAGAAATTTTGATTATTGGCTATAGAGTTAATACAGGTTTATCTTTGAAGTATGAAGAAAACATAATTGCAGTAAATAAAATATTTACCATGATTGCATATCCTATATTGGATTTTCGTAGCAATAGAAAACACGATTCCAAATAAAGTCTGAACACAGAACTTGCACTATATTCTAGTAACGCACTTAAGCTCACATTAAATAGATGAGAAAGTCAGACAAGCTTTTTGAAAGATAGAACTTGTATGCAATTACTTTTTAAAAAAACACCTGAAATTGTATATGGTTATCGTTAGTCAGTTATTCGGAAACGTCAGAATATTTACAATGTTGTAAATCAAGACTCGGAAATTCGATCTGATAAAAAGCATAAAAATTTAGTGTGCTTAATAAAAAAATAGATGGTTCAGTAACTACACTGATTTATTTTAAAAGTAAATATAATTTGATATGACAAAATATAGGTTAAGTGAAATGATATTGTTCAAAATTCTAAACTTTTAATGTAGGCTGATATGTACTCTCCATAATCTAAATTATTTAAACATCACCAAGGTCCAGTTCACTTCACTTGTCCATGTTTTTGACGACGCTATTGATGGGCGTCGTTGTGGAACACAATTTATCAAGTTCTCTTCAATCTTTCACAATATTCACGGGCTTCATCGCCACTTTGCATTTTCAACTTTTGAACGTATAGTAGGTTTCTGATACAAATGGCACATTGCCGTTGTCTTTCTTGTTGATGTTTTACACAAATATATTCAATCACAAAGTCTATAATCGAAATAACTACTGCAGCCGATATTTGAAAGTAAGATTGTGCAATATAGGAATATACTTGGTACTTAGAGGTAGTTACGAGAAACTAGAGGAATGACCAAGTACAGTATGGTTTTAAAATTTGTTGATTTTCGTGCTTTATGCACCTGAAACATATATCTCTCAGTTGTCTGTGATTTTAGCTTCAATTTATACGTGCTTTTCTTCAGTGGTATTTGTTAACCATGAATGTTTACAATGCAGGTTCACTCGCTAGTTCTCGTTGTCTTTCTTGTTGATATTTTACACAAATATATTCAATCACAAAGTCTATAATCGATATAACTACTGCAGTCGATATTTGAAAGTAAGAATGTGCAATATAAGAATATAAGGTACTTAGAGATAGTTACGACAAACTAGAGGGATGACCAAGTACAGTATGGTATTTTTTAACCATGAATGTTTACAATTCTAGTTCACTCGCTAATTCTATCCGCCCTCAAATCCCCCCCGCAAACCACCACTGTTTGGGTTGAGATTGGCCTTTTCCATTGTTGTCGCAATCTGTTCATTTCTGTAATTGAGTCTTTTTGGATTTTTTTTCTGTGTTTTTAGATCTCTGTCGAATTAATTCAAAAATAAACAAGACATGCCGATTTAGCGTATGTTGGGTACGGTGATTTTAATTCATGCAAAGTGTTTGCTTTGGTTACCTTTTGTCAAAATTGTAACTTTTATTTACAGAAAAACTAACCCAAATGTGTATAAGTTTCGTTCATTCTTGAAAGGCAGTACTTATTATATTTCTTTACCAGATGTCAGTTATAGACATACCGATACCTTTTAATGTAATTACTAACCGTTACCGACCGTGCGAGGACCCTTATGTGTAGTCAATGTCGTTAAACACCCCCTCCCCCTAGTAGTTGTGGTATGTATGATTACTGAAATTGAATAAGTTTCGTGTTTACGTTGAGGTATCCTTGATGTTGGACAGACCACTTTAGTACATGCTAGATATTAGAGATCTACTATACTACCTAGTGTATTTTATCACGAAAAATAAAGCAATAGATTCATTTATTAGTTAATAAAGTAATAAGTAACATTAATTGGCTTTGAAATGGCCTTTAGTAACTATGAGTACTCTAAGAGCGTCTTTTGTCTTTTTGTTAGTGTTGTTCGTGCTTTGTGTCGATCTGATTAGTCATGTCTTTTTTAACGGATTTTACCGTTTGTCATTTTAAAAAGATGTGCTATTAGAGGTTTCCCGATTTGCTACCGTACCAACAGTAGTACGAACTGGGAGCCGTCATTGAACTTTGGAAAATAATTCATATATCCCCTAAAGTTAACGTATGTTTTATGAATCATTATCAAAAGTATTTGGAAGATTGTTAGCTACAACTTGGTATTATTTCATAAGGATATTTTTCCTATTCATAGCAAACGATATTGTGTGTACTCGATTTTGCTTTCAAGAAATCGTTGCACGAATGGTTTATAATTAAAATTTATTTTCTCTGAAATTGCACAGGCAAAAAGAAGCTAAAGATAAAGCACATTCATATTTTATCTAATGTTCGCTTGTTATATTGATATAACAGTATAGAATGAATAGGTTGGCATGTTTTTGGGTAGGCTTTTAGAAAACATGATAGAACAAGAGCTATTTAACATACAAATTTGACCCCATAACCTCCTCCGCAAGACAACTTAAAGTATATTGATATAAAACCCGACTGAGCAAGTCTCCAGTTAACAAATAAACTTATGTCATGTCGGTGATCAACAAACTTTATTATTAAATAATCTGTATTAATTCTTCGCATTCTTTAATAGAATTTACCGTTGTCACTTATTTGAGTAGTTCAAATTCATTATCTATACCATTCTGATATTTTTTGCAGTATCGCAAAAAATCATCAAAAACACGTATGAGAAATTTTACCAAAGTTAAAAGTACGAAGAAGGGGTCAAATAAAAGATGCGCTAATAAAATCTTTAAAGAACCCGAGTGTAAGTACAATTTACTATAATTATATTACAATTGTTCTACTCTTTTTAAAATTCAATGAATCAAGACATGTATTTTTTTTCATCGGCAATAGAAAAGTTAATATTTATTTTTCCAAATTTTTTTCAGTTTTAGGAATGCATTTCTAGAAAAAAAATCTGCAGTTGTAGATAAAAAAAAAAGATTAGAAGAGTGCCCTTTCTCACTCAATATGAAATATAAGCTCTCTCATCCTCTCAAGAAAAATATTCTGCTGTAATGATCGAAATAATTTACTTTGATAATAATAACTAATTTCAAAATCATGCGAAAACTAATAATGAAATCAACACAATTTTGACATGTTAACGAATGTAACCAACATCGTGTAACACGTGTTTTAGAAAGTAGTTCATAGATATTTTTTTCAATTATTCCAAATTCTGTTTATACATGAGAAAAAATCTTCTTTTTTTTTATAAAAAAAACAAAACAAAAACAATACCTATAACAAACAGAAGTTTCGAACGCAAATCTATATTTAGAACCTAAAATTGGAATATTGTAAAATTCTAAAGGCCGTGTCAATTCAGTTCTTTTAAGGTCTGTTTAATTCATGGACTTATGCACAACTAAATAATCTCATAAAGAATCACACACAAAGTGTTCTAGAAACGTTGAAATTGTTTTCAAATAAAAAGCTAAGCTAGTTTGTTGCTGATATGCATTTCAATATTTAAAATTGTATCATGATGAATAAAATAATCTCATGCATTGAATGATACCTTCAAAACAGCACTAACCGTTGAGTTACATACCAACCGTACCTGATACGTAGCAAACCGGGAAACCTCTATTACACCACTGTCCCAGGTTATGGGGAGTGCATGCTGAGCGCTTGCAAACATGTTTTACCCCGCTACATTCTGTATGTGCCTGTCCCAAGTCAGGAGCCTGTAATTCAGTGGTTGTCGTTGGTCGCTCTCTATCATATTTGATTTTCGTGTATTGTTTTGTAAATTTATCAAGCCGTTGTTTTTTCTCGTTTGAATTTTTCACATTGAGTCATATCGGAGCCTTTTATAGACTAATTATAAGGTACGGGTTTTACTTATCGTTAAAGGTCGTGCGATAACCTATAGCTGCTTACATCTACGTCATTTGTCTCTGGTGGATGTTGGTCTCATTGGCAATCATACCACCTTTTAAGTTGAACAAAAACATTTGACTCGAAATACATGAGCGATTTTTATACGTTTTACATTTTAAAAAATAACCTTTGAGATGTCATCTGTGACGAGAACAAGAACATTCAGAGATGCATATAATATAACCTGCATTAATTTTGTTCAGATCTTTAATATATGCAAGCTAAACTAGTTGGTTTCAATTACTTTCATATATACATTGAATATTTGTATGTATATAGTATACCCTTTTTGTAGACTCTCATTGATCCAAGAATCTTTTATACCTTCAACTCTACGACTGTGGAATAACCTTAACGTGGTAACACGCAACATTGACTCTTAAGGTAAATCTAAAACCGAATTAAAAAATATCAAACTAAATTCAAAAGCCTAAGTACCTGTTATTCGTTATTAACTTATGATGAAAATGAACAAAAATTTAAAGAATGTATATGAATTTATTAAAGAGTCAAAGATGTTTCTAATTGTATAGTATAGAACAATAACATGCATGTATATTATGTACAACCATTCACATCATCACACATCATCTTTATTACATATCCAATATATAATGTATTGTATTGTTTTGCATGCATGCTTTGTAAATATTCCATTAAAATTACAAGAAACTCGTTTTATATGACTTGAATTAACATCACGAAATAAATTTTTCAACACAATTTCAGTTATTACTTGAGATAGCACAGCGGATTCGGCTTATAAGCCTCAAGAAAACTGAAGCATGTATGTTCGTAGGACAACTACATTGCATTGTACTCTCATTTCCAAACAATTATTTGCAATTAACTGACGCATCTAGCATGTGTTAGAGTAACTGAAAAACAACTTTTGTTTTGACCGATTTTAATACCTACGACACAAATATAAAATTAATACTAATACTCACCCCGTTGAATTAAACACGTATCAATCAATGAAATGAAATAAAAAAGCCACTTTACCTGTTAAATTATACACAACAATTCAACCATATATACGCTTTAAGTCTTAGGATAGAGTTACAGTCGATGAACGTTTTTATTTTATCCCTGATCTTGTGGTCGATTTTTTTCTAGCACACAATTAAAGTCAACTGTGCAAAATAAAAAGTTCCGTTTCAATTCATTTTTTATGTATAATGATTTCATGACTTGTTGCTTTGAAAATTTACATAACTAAATTCTGTTAGAGATTTGTTGAAAAATTAAAACAAAAAAAACATACCTAGTTGTTTCCATGCTGTTCTGTTGTCATGTGATTCTATGTGTTACAATATTTACAAATCTTTCGATCGATACAAAATGTTTTATCGCTTCATATACAATATTGTTACCGTCTCCTATATGATATATATACATTATATTAAAAAGTTTTAAATTTTGTCAACGCTGTGCATAAAATAGGGGAAAAAATAATGCTGAAAATGCACCAAATATTTATATTCAATATGAATATTCACATTTTGTCTATTACAACAACAAATTGTTCAAAAATGTTCTCCATAGTATCCTACCGGTGTCACTGTTTTACAGATGTTCAAGGATATGGTTGCTGGCGACGTCGTCAGGGGTAACGTCCATCAGCGACATTATTATTTAATCCTGAACGTCATAATATAGCACAACGTAGGTACGAAAGTGAAAGTACATAATTATAAATAAATGCCTTCCAGATTCTCATTTCATCTATTTAATTTAGGATGGTATTTCTTAATAAAATAATTTGCTTTATATTTCTCATTGGTTCCGTTGTATTATCTGAACACTGATAAAATGGAAAAAGGAAGAAATTTGGATGATTTGATCCAGCGCATCTATCAATATGTTCGCTAAGTGGGATTTTTCTTGTGCTCGGGACTCGAATTTGCTGTCTATGTACTATCATTCGTTTCCAAATGTATTGCCGGTTTGTCCAATATAATTTTCTTGACAACCACTGCAAGTGATGATGTATAGAAGATTTTCCGATGCACATGTAAAACTGTTCTTGATTTTAAAAATGTGTCCTGATTTAAAAACGAATAGTGTTCCTTCGGATAAGTATAAACAAGATTCACGGTTTGGTCGTCCATATTTTTGTACCTTTGGTTGACTATTTTCAGTTTGGAATGTTGCGCGGGTCAACAATTTTTTTAATGATTTCGGTTGCCGTTTGCTTTTAATTACTTTGTGTGAATTAAATAATTTCAACATCCTCTGGTCGCTCTGTAAAAATGATAAATTGTTATGTATAGTGTTGAATTTTGGTGCATTTTCAGCCTTATTTTTTTTCCTATATATATATATATATATATTGAATGATACAAAAACATACATGTAGTTACCCTAGCTATCATATATTTTTTACAATAAGTATATATACCTGCACATAGCTATTATTGTTACGCTATTTCATGGGGAGATACTAGTAAATAGATTTGACAAATATCTTAAACATTTACGAAAGTGATTTTAGAGACATATATACACAATCTCTTGTGATTTTAATTGCATCTGTAAAAAAAAATATCGACATCTGATTAGTTTCAGATTCAAATATCAACCTTGTCTTATATTTCATCTAAATTTCTCGACCTCATGCAATATCATGAAGCTTCAAATAGTGATCTATCCCAGCGACTCATCCCTTTCACTCATTACATAATAAATGCCCCCGCACACACCACAAGATCGTTGGGCTAAGTTGGATGTTGTCTAGATCTACCTAGCTAGCTCTTCATAGCAAGATAGCAGACGTTGAAGAACAGGAAGACAAAAAATATATCTAAAAAGGAATATAAGAAGAACAAAAAACTACTCTCAGACGATAAAAGCATTTATACATGTATGCTAACATATTTTAAGCAATGTTTAATTTCTATGAATGATTTTTAAGGAGATGTGAAATATACATAATTAATTTAGACAGCAACCCAATTAAGCAACAAACACAACGTGACAATTTACTTCTTATGTTCCTTGTCTTTGAAATATGTTCCACTAGTTATACAAGTTATCTTTAATACTGAGCATTGTTATCAGTGAGTTTAAAGTTATAATTCAAGTACATTATAAAAACATGTATTATATTGATAATGTAATAAATAAAAGGTGTAAACATCCAATACGGATTATGTGGAGTATAGCAAAATGTTTAATTACATTATCCATAAAAAAATTACCCAAATGACAATAATTTAATGAGTCAGAAAAGCGAAGAATAAGAAAAATCCATCAGAAAATTTCTATAGATCAATCATTTATTTATGAATATTGCAATTCAACATATGTTAATTCATATCAGAATTTGTAGAAAAATGAAATAGTGTGTTGGCAGATTTTAGCTCCCAGCTCAGCTGACACTATAGCATACATAATTTTTAATAAAGTCTATTGTCATTTTCCGGATTAGTAAGTTTTTATCTGGACAATCAACATTCTTTTCTGGATTCAATAGTTTATTAAATTCTCACCACATTCAACAAACATTTTTACACAAGACATCCAAACACATAAAACGTCTAGATATTAGTCAACGAGCTGTCTTACGAGGGCGTTGGATGGTTATGTAAAACGATACTGTACACAATAAATTAAATTGGCCTAAAAGTGTTCAAAACAATACCAATTTTAAAAAAAAAGTGACAATAAATATTTCGGATAACATATATCCTTCATCAGTATGAAGCAAAATGATTCATATCAATCTATTCTGATTTCACTAAAACAATCTTGAACGTAATACAAATTTAAAACCAAATCAAACTTGTATAATTCTAAAGTTCCAAAGTTCAAGGAGGTTAAGTATTAACTACAGAGACTGCGTATATATGGATCCAAAATGAATAACACTATGCGATTTGAACTTGAATGCTGTTATTATATTAACAATTGTTAAATTTATACGAAACAGCAATTAAGTAAAGGAAGAACATTTCCTGCTTATTATTCAGTGTGTTGATTATTCATTGATTTATATTTGTACTTATATTTTGGCATTGCATTAGGTCATGCTTTTCTCATACTTTTTTTTGTAAGTCTTTTAACGTTGAGGTATCCTTGTTGTTGGACAGACCACTTTAGTACATGCTAGATATTAGAGATCTACTATACTACCTAGTGTATTTTATCACGAAAAATAAAGCAATAGATTCATTTATTAGTTAATAAATTAATAAGTAACATTAATTGGCTTTGAAATGGCCTTTAGTAACTATGAGTACTCTAAGAGCGTCTTTTGTCTTTTTGTTAGTGTTGTTCGTGCTTTGTGTCGATCTGATTAGTCATGTCTTTTTTAACGGATTTTACCGTTTGTTATTTTAAAAAGATGTGCTATTAGAGGTTTCCCGATTTGCTACCGTACCAACAGTAGTACGAACTGGGAGCCGTCATTGAACTTTGGAAAATAATTCATATATCCCCTAAAGTTAACGTATGTTTTATGAATCATTATCAAAAGTATTTGGAAGATTGTTAGCTACAACTTGGTATTATTTCATAAGGATATTTTTCCTATTCATAGCAAACGATATTGTATGTACTCGATTTTGCTTCCAAGAAATCGTTGCATGAATGGTTTATAATCAAAATTTATTTTCTCTGAAATTGCACAGGCAAAAAGAAGCTAAAGATAAAGCACATTCATATTTTATCTAATGTTCGCTTGTTATATTGATATAACAGTATAGAATGAATAGGTTGGCATGTTTTTGGGTAGGCTTTTAGAAAACATGATAGAATAAGAGCTATTTAACATACAAATTTGACCCCATAACCTCCTCCGCAAGACAACTTAAAGTATATTGATATAAAACCCGACTGAGCAAGTCTCCAGTTAACAAATAAACTTATGTCATGTCGGTGATCAACAAACTTTATTATTAAATAATCAGTATTAATTCTTCGCATTCTTTAATAGAATTTACCGTTGTCACTTATTTGAGTAGTTCAAATTCATTATCTATACCATTCTGATATTTTTTGCAGTATCACAAAAATCATCATACACACGTATGAGAAATTTTACCAAAGTTAAAAGTACGAAGAAGGGGTCAAATAAAAGATGCGCTAATAAAATCTTTAAAGAACCCGAGTGTAAGTACAATTTACTATAATTATATTACAATTGTTCTACTCTTTTTAAAATTCAATGAATCAAGACATGTATTTTTTTTCATCGGCAATAGAAAAGTTAATATTTATTTTTCAATATTTTTTTCAGTTTCCATTTTAGGAATGCATTTCTAGAAAAAAAATCTGCAGTTGTAGATAAAAAAAAAAAGATTAGAAGAGTGCCCTTTCTCACTCAATATGAAATCTAAGCTCTCTCATCCTCTCAAGAAAAATATTCTGCTGTAATGATCGAAATAATTTACTTTGATAATAATAACTAATTTCAAAATCATGCGAAAACTAATAATGAAATCAACACAATTTTGACATGTTAACGAATATAACCAACATCGTGTAACACGTGTTTTAGAAAGTAGTTCATAGATATTTTTTTCAATTATTCCAAATTCTGTTTATACATGAGAAAAAATCTTCTTTTTTTTTATAAAAAAAACAAAACAAAAACAATACCTATAACAAACAGAAGTTTCGAACGCAAATCTATATTTAGAACCTAAAATTGGAATATTGTAAAATTCTAAAGGCCGTGTCAATTCAGTTCTTTTAAGGTCTGTTTAATTCATGGACTTGTGCACAACTAAATAATCTCATAAAGAATCACACACAAAGTGTTCTAGAAACGTTGAAATTGTTTTCAAATAAAAAGCTAAGCTAGTTTGTTGCTGATATGCATTTCAATATTTAAAATTGTATCATGATGAATAAAATAATCTCATGCATTGAATGATACCTTGAAAACAGCACTAACCGTTTAGTCACATACCAACCGTACCTGATACGTAGCAAACCGGGAAACCTCTATTACACCACTGTCCCAGGTTATGGGGAGTGCATGCTGAGCGCTTGCAAACATGTTTTACCCCGCTACATTCTGTATGTGCCTGTCCCAAGTCAGGAGCCTGTAATTCAGTGGTTGTCGTTGGTCGCTCTCTATCATATTTGATTTTCGTGTATTGTTTTGTAAATTTATCAAGCCGTTGTTTTTTCTCGTTTGAATTTTTTCACATTGTGTCATATCGGAGCCTTTTATAGCTTACGACTAATTATAAGGTACGGGTTTTACTTATCGTTAAAGGTCGTGCGATAACCTATAGCTGCTTACATCTACGTCATTTGTCTCTGGTGGATGTTGGTCTCATTGGCAATCATACCACCTTTTAAGTTGAACAAAAACATTTGACTCGAAATACATGAGCGATTTTTATACGTTTTACATTTTAAAAAATAACCTTTGAGATGTAATCTGTGACGAGAACAAGAACATTCAGAGATGCATATAATATAACCTGCATTAATTTTGTTCAGATCTTTAATATATGCAAGCTAAACTAGTTGGTTTCAATTACTTTCATATATACATTGAATATTTGTATGTATATAGTATACCCTTTTTGTAGACTCTCATTGATCCAAGAATCTTTTATACCTTCAACTCTACGACTGTGGAATAACCTTAACGTGGTAACACGCAACATTGACTCTTAAGGTAAATCTAAAACCGAATTAAAAAATATCAAACTAAATTCAAAAGCCTAAGTACCTGTTATTCGTTATTAACTTATGATGAAGATGAACAAAAATTTAAAGAATGTATATGAATTTATTAAAGAGTCAAAGATGTTTCTAATTGTATAGTATAGAACAATAACATGCATGTATATTATGTACAACCATTCACATCATCACACATCATCTTTTTTTACATATCCAATATATAATGTATTGTATTGTTTTGCATGCATGCTTTGTAAATATTCCATTAAAATTACAAGAAACTCGTTTTATATGACTTGAATTAACATCACGAAATAAATTTTTCAACACAATTTCAGTTATTAATTGAGATAGCACAGCGGATTCGGCTTATAAGCCTCAAGAAAACTGAAGCATGTATGTTCGTAGGACAACTACATTGCATTGTACTCTCATTTCCAAACAATTATTTGCAATTAACTGACGCATCTAGCATGTGTTAGAGTAACTGAAAAACAACTTTTGTTTTGACCGATTTTAATACCTACGACACAAATATAAAATTAATACTAATACTCACCCCGTTGAATTAAACACGTATCAATCAATGAAATGAAATAAAAAAGCCACTTTACCTGTTAAATTATACACAACAATTCAACCATATATACGCTTTAAGTCTTAGGATAGAGTTACAGTCGATGAACGTTTTTATTTTATCCCGGATCTTGTGGTCGATTTTTTTCTAGCACACAATTAAAGTCAACTGTGCAAAATAAAAAGTTCCGTTTCAATTCATTTTTTATGTATAATGATTTCATGACTTGTTGCTTTGAAAATTTACATAACTAAATTCTGTTAGAGATTTGTTGAAAAATTAAAACAAAAAAAACATACCTAGTTGTTTCCATGCTGTTCTGTTGTTATGTGATTCTATGTGTTACAATATTTACAAATCTTTCGATCGATATAAAATGTTTTAGCGCTTCATATACAATATTGTTACCGTCTCCTATATAATATATATACATTATATTAAAAAGTTTTAAATTTTGTCAACGCTGTGCATAAAATAGGGGAAAAAATAATGCTGAAAATGCACCAAATATTTATATTCAATATGAATATTCACATTTTGTCTATTACAACAACAAATTGTTCAAAAATGTTCTCCATAGTATCCTACCGGTGTCACTGTTTTACAGATGTTCAAGGATATGGTTGCTGGCGACGTCGTCAGGGGTAACGTCCATCAGCGACATTATTATTTAATCCTGAACGTCATAATATAGCACAACGTAGGTACGAAAGTGAAAGTACATAATTATAAATAAATGCCTTCCAGATTCTCATTTCATCTATTTAATTTAGGATGGTATTTCTTAATAAAATAATTTTCTTTATATTTCTCATTGGTTCCGTTGTATTATCTGAACACTGATAAAATGGAAAAAGGAAGAAATCTGGATGATTTGATCCAGCGCATCTATCAATATGTTCGCTAAGTGGGATTTTTCTTGTGCTCGGGACTCGAATTTGCTGTCTATGTACTATCATTCGTTTTCTAATGGTATTGCCGGTTTGTCCAATATAATTTTCTTGACAACCACTGCAAGTGATGATGTATAGAAGATTTTCCGATGCACATGTAAAACTGTTCTTGATTTTAAAAATGTGTCCTGATTTAAAAACGAATAGTGTTCCTTCGGATAATTATAAACAAGATTCACGGTTTGGTCGTCCATATTTTTGTACCTTTGGTTGACTATTTTCAGTTTGGAATGTTGCGCGGGTCAACAATTTTTTTAATGATTTCGGTTGCCGTTTGCTTTTAATTACTTTGTGTGAATTAAATAATTTCAACATCCTCTGGTCGCTCTGTAAAAATGATAAATTGTTATGTATAGTGTTGAAATTTGGTGCATTTTCAGCCTTATTTTTTTCCTATATATATATATATATATTGAATGATACAAAAACATACATGTAGTTACCCTAGCTATCATATATTTTTTACAATAAGTATATATACCTGCACATAGCTATTATTGTTACGCTATTTCATGGGGAGATACTAGTAAATAGATTTGACAAATATCTTAAACATTTACGAAAGTGATTTTAGAGACATATATACACAATCTCTTGTGATTTTAATTGCATCTGTAAAAAAAAAATATCGACATCTGATTAGTTTCAGATTCAATCATCAACCTTGTCTTATATTTCATCTAAATTTCTCGACCTCATGCAATATCATGAAGCTTCAAATAGTGATCTATCCCAGCGACTCATCCCTTTCACTCATTACATAATAAATGCCCCCGCACACACCACAAGATCGTTGGGCTAAGTTGGATGTTGTCTAGATCTACCTAGCTAGCTCTTCATAGCAAGATAGCAGACGTTGAAGAACAGAAAGACAAAAAATATATCTAAAAAGGAATATAAGAAGAACAAAAAACTACTCTCAGACGATAAAAGCATTTATACATGTATGCTAACATATTTTAAGCAATGTTTAATTTCTATGAATGATTTTTAAGGAGATGTGAAATATACATAATTAATTTAGACAGCAACCCAATTAAGCAACAAACACAACGTGACAATTTACTTCTTATGTTCCTTGTCTTTGAAATATGTTCCACTAGTTATACAAGTTATCTTTAATACTGAGCATTGTTATCAGTGAGTTTAAAGTTATAATTCAAGTACATTATAAAAACATGTATTATATTGATAATGTAATAAATAAAAGGTGTAAACATCCAATACGGATTATGTGGAGTATAGCAAAATGTTTAATTACATTATCCATAAAAAAATTACCCAAATGACAATAATTTAATGAGTCAAAAAAGCGAAGAATAAGAAAAATCCATCAGAAAATTTCTATAGATCAATCATTTATTTATGATTATTGCAATTCAACATATGTTACTTCATATCAGAATTTGTAGAAAAATGAAATAGTGTGTTGGCAGATTTTAGCTCCCAGCTCAGCTGACACTATAGCATACATACTTTTTAATAAAGTCTATTGTCATTTTCCGGATTAGTAAGTTTTTATCTGGACAATCAACATTCTTTTCTGGATTCAATAGTTTATTAAATTCTCACCACATTCAACAAACATTTTTACACAAGACATCCAAACACATAAAACGTCTAGATATTAGTCAACGAGCTGTCTTACGAGGGCGTTGGATGGTTATGTAAAACGATACTGTACACAATAAATTAAATTGGCCTAAAAGTGTTCAAAACAATACCAATTTTAAAAAAAAGGTAACAATAAATATTTCGGATAACATATATCCTTCATCAGTATGAAGCAAAATGATTCATATCAATCTATTCTGATTTCACTAAAACAATCTTGAACGTAATACAAATTTAAAACCAAATCAAACTTGTATAATTCTAAAGTTCCAAAGTTCAAGGAGGTTAAGTATTAACTACAGAGACTGCGTATATATGGATCCAAAATGAATAACACTATGCGATTTGAACTTGAATGCTGTTATTATATTAACAATTGTTAAATTTATACGAAACAGCAATTAAGTAAAGGAAGAACATTTCCTGCTTATTATTCAGTGTGTTGATTATTCATTGATTTATATTTGTACTTATATTTTGGCATTGCATTAGGTCATGCTTTTCTCATACTTTTTTTGTAAGACTTTTAACCAAATCCGTTGGATGTGTACTGATTGGTACTTCAGTCTGGGAGAAAATGATTTATTTCAGAGACGGATTTAGAAGGACGGACAGGGGCCTGTCCCCCTTGTGGAGCTACATATATGGTTAATGCATAGACTTTTTACATGTTCCAATGCTAACGTTGCCTAGTTTTGGCCCCCTTTTCAAAATTCTGGGCCTGCATTTTCATTTATTAGTTTTTATTGGCTTTGATCAAGGATTTGTATGGATTTCTATACAAATCCTTGCTTTGATTTAGCTTTCAGTAACTGCGACTGACCTCGCCGAGTTACTTATTTTCCGCACTTTTTTAATATTTTGTCTTCATGCAAGTGTTTTTTGTGCTCCTTGCCGATCTAATGAGTCGATTCATTTCCAACTGATTTTTACAGTTTATTCGTATGTTGTACTGTAACACACCTGTTACACCAGGTTAGGTAAGGGTTGAGCTCTCACAAAATATATATGGGCTTGTCCCAAGTCAGGAGCATGAAAGTCAGTGGTTGTCATTGATTGCTGTGTATCGATATTTGTTTTATGTTAAATGTTTTGTCATAATTCAGACCGTTGTTTTCGATTGAATTGTTTCACATTTTGTCATGTCGGGATCTTTTATATGTGACTATATACAGTATGGGTTTCGCTCATTGTAATGTTGAATCGCTGTTTTGTTAATTTTCATTATGACCTATATATGCTTAAATCTGCTTCATAAGGACTCTGATGGATAGTCATCTTATTGCCAATCATACCAGTTTTTTTTTTATTTTAGATAAAATAAAAAAAACAACAACAAGAAGTGGTTTGATGCAAGTTTACACCAAGCTAAGGATAACTTGCTCAACTATGGAAAAACTTATTCACGATTTCAATATGACCTCTTTATAAAAAAACATTTCTATAAAATGAATCGTGAATACTCGAAGCTTAGGAAATACAAATATAAACAATACAGATCAGCTGGAATCAGAAGATAATCCAAAAGCTGTATTGGATTTGATTTTTGATTTTTGGTGTTTTAACGCCACTTTTAAGCACCGCTTTTTGTCTATTTCGTAGCGGCCAGTTTTTATTGGTGGAAGAAGCCAGAGCGCCCGGTGAAAACCACCGACCTTCGATAGGAAAACTGACAATCCTAGTCAATTAAGATTGGTGTCGAATGCACCCGCACGAGCGGGGTTCGAACTCACAACTTCAGTGTTGACTGGCTAGTGATTACAGTAGTAACTACTTAGACCACTCGGCCACCGAGGCCCCCAGCTGTATTGGAACGTAGTTAATAAATTGCAAGGGGAAAAAACAAAGCAGGTGACAAATGCGTAATACCACCATCAACTTCAATATCACATTTTGAAAGAGAAATTTGAAAGTAGTCTGAGATAAATATAGAGCTGTGAAAACCTGAAACGGTTAGAAAATACTAAATGATACAATGAATTGGACTTAGCCATTACATCGTCTGAACTCATTCGGCAAACCTCGGCCGATCTAACACAATCTAAGTTAGATGTAGGGTACCTAAATCTGCCGAGGTTTGCCGATTGCGTCTGAACTATCCAAAGCTATTTCACATATAAATGTAATTAATCATCAGTCTTTGACAACGGTAGTAATAATATGACAAGAATGGACAGACATTCCTACTAAAAGGCTTTCAGAAAATATCAAGTACTTGTCTGTCTTCAGTTATTTACCCAACATCTTGGACTGAAGTTTATATAATTTTTTGATGCAACGATGCAAGTGATCTTAACAATTAGAGGAAGAACGATAACAAGTGCTATCTTGAAATTTTTAACAGAATTTAAAGTTTACAACTTGTCAGATTTCGTCGGGAACATAGTGTTATACATGACAGTCAAATTGGATTTACAAAGAAAGTCAGAACGGTAGACCATACATTATGTTCATACTTAACTGCCTTATTAACACATACCGCAATTCAAAAACTGTTTTTGTTGACTTTCAGATACTGCCATACACAAAGGAATCAAAATTTGTTTCTTACCTAGTGAAATAAGTTCCGGGTTTGTGAGATTTGTTCCTTACCTTGTGAAATAAGTTCCTTGTCTGTGAAATATGTTCCACTAGTTATACAAGTTATCTTTAATACTGAGCATTGTTATCAGTGAGTTTAAAGTTATAATTCAAGTACATTATAAAAACATGTATTATATTGATAATGTAATAAATAAAAGGTGTAAACATTCAATATGGATTCTGTGGAGTATAGCAAAATGTTTAATTACATTATCCATAAAAAAAATACCTAAATGACAATAATTTAATGATTCAGAAAAGCGAAGAATAAGAAAAAAACATCTGAAATTTTTTATAGTTCAATCATTTATTTATGAATATTGCAATTCAACATATTATGTTACTTCATATCAGAATTTGTAGAAAAATGAAATATTGTGTTTTAGATATTTACCACAGTTGTTAATCATAGTTGTGCATTTGTTTTTTTTATCATATTATCTACGTACAATATACATGATATATATGCTGACTTAATATGAATTTCTAAAAGATTTACCTTATTTTGAATGTTTTTCGTGTTGTTTAAAGACTTGTTGAGTATTAAATTTGTCAGGTACAACTATAGAATGTTTTGCTTGATATAATGTTAATGCATCGTGTTAATCTATAACACCCGGAACTTATTTGACATTTAGTAAAAAAAATAGTGCCGGAACAAATTTTACAGTGCTGGAACATATTTCCTTATAATATATATTCCGGGTATAAATTTTCTGTGATATAAATTCCGGTGGAATATATTTCCTATGAAATAAGTCCGGCGGAACAAATGTCACGCCGGAACAATTTTTTTGTTACAAAAAAATAATCTTAATAGCAAAAAATAATTCAGATATAACTTGAAACTATGAACAGGGTCAGGAACAAACTTCTAATGTTTGTTTTGGGGTTTATTGACTATTTATACTAGACATGCTATATGAGAGAAAGAGAAATAAAAGAAAATTATAAATTTAAAAGACGAAAATACTGTTGGCATTTTAAAAGATTATTCTTAATTGTATGTTTTGTACAAGAATTGTAAAACAAGTATAAACATTCATATACTATGATCATAAAACAAAAAGACATTTATATTTCAACATACGAACGGTCTCCCACAAAAGATTATGTCAAGCTTTTAAGGGTAAGTATGATAAGGGCCTTATTCTTCATCCAACATTCAATGGTATAGTAAATAAATATGAAGATATGTACAAGTAAAACAATCACAAAAAATACAGTATCAAGCTGTATGCTTAATAAAGTTTTTGGTCTTTGTTGATTCTCTTATGTTGATGGCCTCATAGTGAACTTAAAATAGCTTTGCAGAACTTATTACCTTCTTTATAACCAACGATGTCCATTATAATTTGAAAAAGAAAGGCGGCGAAACTACTATGTTTTGAATTTCAGGCGCTTACAATAGGTCTTATATAACAAATTACCCGTCTCACAACTCTGAGTATTTTCATCAAAAAATATAATCAAGAAGTCCAATAAAACCAAATAATCTGATAAAAGAAAAATTTAATTGTTAAGGATACTCATTATTCAAATATAGAAAAAGAGGCGTGGGGCATTCCACATTGCAGTCCAACTACAGTGAATAGACAAAATCTTCATCGACAACAAAAACCATACAAATATGTGAAGCTTTACATTTTAAGGATCATTTTTGAAAAGATGTGATATACCGTTGGAAATATATTAATTGTGTTCTTATATGTTTAAATTTTACTACGTTTCAATCTCTACACTTTCGATGCCTATTATGAACGAAAAACTTTCAGGTGGAAGCGGTCATACTTTTCTAACACAAATAAATAAGCAAACCACCAAAGAAGAAGTCAACTAACTTCCCCCAAAAGAAATTAGTAAATCTAAAAAATTGTATAAGCCTTTTATAATTTTTGTAATCCACTACAACTTACATGCAATTCTGAACGAATTAAACTACAAACAGAAAACATTTTCCACTTTCATCAGCTATGAGACGGCTAGCTTTTTTAGAAAAGCTATTACTTGGTGTGTGATGAAGTTGATTAAGGAATAACGCGAGATTGCAGTTAGCCAATCAGAATAACGTATTATAATGAAACAAACATCTAATGTAATTATTATTAAATAATCAGTATCAATTCTTCGCATTCTTTAATAGAATTTACCATTATCACTTATTTGAGTAGTTCGAATTCATTATCTATACCATTCTGATATTTTTCTGCAGTATCGCAAAAATCATCGTACACACGTATGAGAAATTTTACCAAAGTTAAAAGTACGAAGAAGGGGTCAAATAAAAGATGCGCTAATAAAATCTTTAAAGAACCCGAGTGTAAGTACAATTTACTATAATTATATTACAATTGTTCTACTCTTTTTAAAATTCAATGATTCAAGACATGGATTTTTTTTTTCATCGGCAATAAAAAAGTTAATATTTATTTTTCAATATTTTTTTCAATAATTTTAAGAATGCATTTCTAGAAATAAAAGATGAGAAGAGTGCCCTTTTCTCACTCAATATGAAATCTAAGCTCTCTCATCCTCTCAAGAAAAATATTCTGCTGTAATGATCGAAATAATTTACTTTGATAATAATAACTAATTTCAAAATCATGAAAAAACTAATAATGAAATCAACACAATTTTGACATGTTAACGAATATAACCAACATCGTGTAACACGTGTTTTAGAAAGTAGTTCATAGATATTTTTTTAATTATTCCAAATTCTGTTTATACATGAGAAAAAAATCTTCTTTTTTTTATAAAAGAAACAAAACAAAAACAATACCTATAACAAACAGAAGTTTCGAACGCAAATCTACATTTAGAATCTAAAATTGGAATATTGTATAATTCTAAAGGCCGTGTCAATTCAGTTCTTTTAAGGTCTGTTTAATTCATGGACTTGTGCACAACTAAATAATCTCATAAAGAATCACACACAAAGTGTTCTAGAAACGTTGAAATTGTTTTCAAATAAAAAGCTAAGCTAGTTTGTTGCTGATATGCATTTCAATATTTAAAATTGTATCATGATGAATAAAATAATCTCATGCATTGAATGATACCTTCAAAACAGCACTAACCGTTGAGTTACATACCAACCGTACCTGATACGTAGCAAACCGGGAAACCTCTATTACACCACTGTCCCAGGTTATGGGGATTGCATGCTGAGCGCTTGCAAACATGTTTTACCCCGCTACATTCTGTATGTGCCTGTCCCAAGTAAGGAGCCTGTAATTCAGTGGTTGTCGTTGGTCGCTCTCTATCATATTTGATTTTCGTGTATTGTTTTGTAAATTTATCAAGCCGTTGTTTTTTCACGTTTGAATTTTTTCACATTGTGTCATATCGGAGCCTTTTATAGCTTACGACTAATTATAAGGTACGGGTTTTACTTATCGTTAAAGGTCGTGCGATAACCTATAGCTGCTTACATCTACGTCATTTGTCTCTGATGGATGTTGGTCTCATTGGCAATCATACCACCTTTTAAGTTGAACAAAAACATTTGACTCGAAATACATGAGCGATTTTTATACGTTTTACATTTTAAAAAATAACCTTTGAGATGTCATCTGTGACGAGATCAAGAACATTCAGAGATGCATATAATATAACCTGCATTAATTTTGTTCAGATCTTTAATATATGCAAGCTGAACTAGTTGGTTTCAAATACTTTCATATATACATTGAATATTTGTATGTATATATTATACCCTTTTTGTAGACTCTCATTGATCCAAGAATCTTTTATACCTTCAACTCTACGACTGTGGAATAACCTTAACGTGGTAACACGCAACATTGACTCTTAAGGTAAATCTAAAACCGAATTAAAAAATATCAAACTAAATTCAAAAGCCTAAGTACCTGTTATTCGTTATTAACTCATGATGAAAATGAACAAAATTTAAAGAATGTATAGAATTTATTTAAGAGTCAAAGATGTTTCTAA